TTATTATTGAAATCACTGGGCATGTTTATGAACAAGTTTTTTGTTTATTTCTACATTTTAAGAAGATTTTATGGCTTAGAGTCTTTAATATAAGTAAAATTTTATGACGCTACACTTCCAATAGCTAACATGAGGAAAGCCTAATCAACTTAGTGTTGGTGCATTGAAAACGTAAATAATGCGTTGTTTTGATGGAATTCGTGTTGTGAGCGTAGAAGTTGGTGAAGGCGAACGGCGCGAGGTGTCTTTAGAAATCGGATTACGGCCGGTGCGATAATGACTCGTAGCACAGAGAGTGTGCGCGTCTCACAGACAGCATCTCGTTCAGTCCATATGGGGGGAGAGAACACGAAGAATTCGTAGCGTATCTTAGGAAATCGAAATGACTCTCTTATGTCACCAAAATGCGAGTAGACTAGCGTTTTCGGACAATATGGTAGATGCGCCTGCCGCGCGAATATGAGCTGGGAAATTGGTAAACTTAATCTCAGGGAAAGAATAGTAATGTTAGAACTAAAACGGACAGAATTTAATATATTTTAACATGCAAGTCTATGGCCTTTTGTGGAAGATAACAATGACTGAGGACAGCGTTGACTATAAAAATCTTCACCAAAGTAATGAGCATCCTAAAGCCAAATTGAGAAAGCTACCATCAGTCGAGTAATCGCAGTAAGCTGTTTTCATGTGAAGGCCATGCAAGAGAAGCAGCTATTGATCGCTGTGAATAGCGGTCTGGAAGAGCAAGGAATAAACAGAATCGATTTTTCTCAAAAATTTCCAGAAGTTGTGATTGAGACAGTAGAGCAGGCGAGCGCCTGCTACATGCTGGTCCTAGGATAGAGCCCAAAGAAACTTATTAATTTTAGATGAACTTTGAATTTACTAGGCCAGAATCTGCTCTAAGATGATGAGTAAAAGTCCTAAATTGTATTTTTTACCTTACAAGCTGAATCATTCCTTCTTCTGTGCTAGCGTTAAAATTGATTGAGTTGATATTGGTGAAATCATCTATTGCGCTTGCTGATATCCTTAATTCCGGCTTGTATGTCAAGGAGGTTATGACGAACATGAACATTAGCTAATTTTGTTTTACTGCATTGAATTATAGAAATCTTATCTCAAAAAATAAACGCTTATTCAATAGCTTAGTCATACAACGAAGAGATTTTTTGAATCTAATTATCGTTATCAAAATTGTTTTAGAATGAGTCACTAAGCTTAAAATTCAGCGAAGAAAAACTCACTGATAATCGTTTGCATAATCGATTAAAATAAATTAAAGACTGTTAAAATTATGAGAAAGTGAATGTTACTGTATACAAAGTTTTACCACACAATTGTACAATTTGGCTTTGAAAGATGAAGCGCAAATTTGAAGCTACTTGTTGCGCCCTGTATATTCAGTTTTAATTAATGCGAACTAATGTTTTATAAATCCGCTTCCTTCAAAAGGGGTCCTTAGAGTTCGAATTTTTACATTTACAAATTAGTGCGTAATGGATTTTTTTCGAGTTGAGGTATAAAATAATTGAAAATCTTCAAAAAAATTAAATCACATTATTAGAACTAGTAAAGATTTTAAACAAAAAAATGATCAATATTGCTGCCAAAATCGCACGAAGAAAAAATACGAGCAATGGCTAAACAGAATGTAACTGATTGTGAGAAATATAGCAACAATAATGAAAGATTCAATATTTAGGAAAAATTGAGCGAATGTATGCAGCTAATTCGAATAGTATTGGAGTTTTACAAAATGAACAAAGTAAGCGTGAGAATGATTAATTTGATGCATTTTCTAGAAAAGTCCAGGATATCTTTTTTAGGAACACTTCCTAAGTCTGACATATTGACGCGAAAGCTCTAATGTTTTCAGACCGTCAAAGAACGGTAAATGTTTGCGTTAGAGCTGTGAATCAATAAAATCCATGAGCCGTCTCCCTTTTAAATTCATAAAGAGGTGATTTGACCTCAAATAACAAGAGCAAGTTAGAGACATTTGAAAAGGACACCAAAGTGAGAAAGACAAACGGCGTCGTCCTTCATCACGACGTTGGCATCGAACGGTGGCAGCGGCGTCGTATTGTCTGCGGCTGAGTCAGTCAGCCAGCTGGTGGACGTTGATCGCCGTTGAATCCACGACATCGTCCTTGAACCATTTCGCACTCGCCGCCATCGCAATCCCGTGCGATGCGAAGCGAAATCGTCGTTGTTTATCGTAGACGACATGTCTCGCGCGACGTTATCGTAGTGTATAGACAATGGCGATGTAGTCACTATTAGCTTGCATTGCGCATGTCTCAGGCTACTAAACCTTCTCGGGTCCTCTTTTTAATCATTAAAGGAGCTCAGAAGGTTTTCAAACCTTTTTT